TGGCGGGAAAATTACTTACTGAACAGCTAGATTATTTTCAAAGAACGACGGTTAAATGGAAATCCTCTATTTACTTTATGAAAAATTTACGATGATTTACGCTAGTGAGCGCAAAGTGTAGGGTAAAGCAACAATTATTCATACAGTTAATGCCCTGAGTACTTCGAGTCTGGTGCAAAAACGCATGATCGCACCGACAAACCTGAGGCGTTCCAGCCTGGGTTCTAAAAAAAGAAACGGATGCGCACAGTTTTGCGCATGAATATCTGTGGTATCGAAATGCGAAATTGCAAAAGCTTGTCTCAATCGGTTACGCATAGTACTTCACTATGAATTAAAAAAAATAAATAGCAATGCGCACCAGACTAGCCGGTGCGATCATGCGTTTTGTATAATTCAGCCCATCGAACGATTGTCTATTAATGATTTTTACTGCGTTGTGCTTTAGTCTATGCAAAAATAGTTGAAACATTGAAAAATATTTAGAAATTTTACGCACATGCGCATGAAAGCTGAATTCGAAACACTGAAGGGTGAATATCTTTCCGTGATTCCCGAGTTAATAGTTTACCCGCCAAAATTTTCACGAGGCTGTACATGACACCCGACAGCGCTGGAAAGCTGAATTTGGATAGGCAAGGCTGAGCGTGGACAGAAGTCACTACCCTAAAATTTCAGCTTCAGGGAAAATTTTTCGTTCAGAGAATTAGAAATTAGTACTGAATTCAAAAACTGTATCGTTTTAATAATATGTAGTGCCGCTGAGTTAGCAGTTATATGTTTAAACGTTACTGGAAATTTTTTGATTGCAAAAAAAAAATGGAATTTCCGGAAGAAGTGAAACGGTTAACAAAATTTATGAACTCTCTTTTCCGCAGGGAAGAAAATGTGCGAAACAAACTGAGTTAGCTCTGCAAAAGGGTTGCTAATTTGTAAATAAAAGCAAATAAGGCGTAGTTTTAAACGAATAATTTGTTTATCAAAACAGTGCTGTACATCATGGCTTAAGAAAGTTCAGATGAGAGCGACTAATAAGCAATAAACTGGTAATGCCATTTTTTAAAATCAAACGAAGAAGATAAGCAACATGCCTTACAACGCACACCGAAGCCTAGCTGTTCCGGCGACAATGTCCGGACGTACATGAGATTTTCAGAAAGCGCCTGTAACCAACCGTTTCTGGAATGTTCGCGTACCATCAAATGATAGAGATGCGGCTTTACGGGACCTGAATTTTGTCATTGTAGACAACATTTTCATTGTCAGCACAGGAAAAATTTTCATGAGTTCCTCAAAGAACACTGGGGAAAAAACAGACGGTCAAAATGCACTTTTAAAAAAATCTGGGAGACAGTTTTCCGTTGTGGTAGATTTGTCTCCGGAATAAGAAACAGGCGAATGCTAATTAAACTACTACGTTTCGTGCAGAAAAAAATAAGCATGAGTGAACAAGACGGAATTTGCCCTAAGACGGAAAGTTGACTGGACTTTTAAAAAAAAGCAAAAAAAAGAGAGTTTTAGTTCAGCCAATTAATCTTGTGCACAAGCAAGAAGAGCAAAAATTAGTAAAGAAACCAAAAGAGAAAATTAAGCAATGACAACAAAGGCATTTTTCAGATGGATGTAATGCGAAGAGAACTCACAAAGCACTATTTTGTGGAGGACCGCTTCCAAGATGGCGTCGATGTTCAGGAATTCATTCGCATTGAGCCTCGAGCGTTCTTTCTCGATTAGATCATGTAGCTCGCCCTCGCCGTGTTTCACCAGATAATTTTTTAAACCATTCAAAAATTGCCGAACATTTCGGATTACAACCTAAAAATAAAAGCCAAAAATTATTCGCACCATACAGTCGAATAAATTTCACTAGGAAAAGTATTTTGCAGGATCACGACTTTTAAATTCAACAGAAACATTTAGTAACATCCCATCAAATGCTTAATTTCTACCCAAAATTTGACAATATGACAAACTTTTCAAATACGAATGCCTTACTTGTGGGTCGCACTCTTCAGCCTCGAAAGTACATTCGATGAA